ATTCTCCAGGATTCCATTTGTATAAGAAAAATCAAGCCATTCTTTTGGAATGTAGTGCACATCATAGTTCATACTTTACCTTTTGGGACTTTTTGGTACTTAAGTCTCGCTAAAGGTTCTAAGAGCAAAAGTGGGTGGTGGTTGTGGATCCTGAAGACATTCAGCAGTGTCTTGTATCATCCTCAGTATATGCAGTATCTCAGATAACACACCTTAATCTCATCAGATAATGGGTTTTTACCAGGGAGGGTAGTTTAGCAGACAAAGATGGAGTAGCCTTTCCAGATGGAAGTAAGTAGGTTGCTTGTGTTGGCAGGTGTTATTCAACAGGATAGAGGCATTTACTCTCAATAGATTTCTGATCATCTACCCATTTGTCCCCATCCCAAGTTACAAGATTCCATTTCTTTGCAGTCAGTGAGGCACCATTTGAGGTTAGGAATTTAATTAGTGTTCTAATTTAGCCATTTTATGATAAGGCTCTGGGTTTGGTTTTCTGGAGTATCAGCTATATGTTACTACATGAAATAAGATTTTCTTTAAGGGCACCAGTGGCAAGTTTCAGGTTTTGTATGCAATACTTGAGCTGTGACTCTGAAACTTGGAACACATCACTTTCTTTCAGCCCTTAGTCTTGTGAAAATAGTATTAACCAACCAGCTTCCTTATATTTATTCTGTCAGAATTGGAGAAAAATATCAAACATGTTAACTACCCTGGTTTCAATATATACTTGATCAGTTGGTGGTGATGTTTTGCATATTTCTATTGCTTCCTCATCTCATGGGTTAACAGTGCACTCTTTACTATTATACAACCATTAATGCCTGGAAGAGTAGCCAGATTTGAGAATAAACAATTTCGAAAACTCACTTTTTGTTTTTCTAGAATTACTCTCAATACCCAATGCCTTAGGGTGGTTCTTTAGAAAAGCAAAACCACTGAAGTTTCTATATACAATATAGAGAGAGTTATTTCAAGGCAGTGGCTCCCCCAGTTGTGGCGATGACTTAGTTCCAAATATGTGGATCAGGCAACAGCTGGAGGCCTCTGATTTATGTGGTTTATAATGGCTGATTAACCCAAAATCTGCAGGTCAGATGGCAGACTTGCTGGCTCACATAAGAACAACTAGAGGTCAGAGGATGATTACCTAAGCTAAGCTGTAAAAGAGCAAGAGGAGAGTTTTGTCAAAACATCCCATATATATTGGTTGCAGAACACACCCTCAAGGAAACAACCTCTTCCAGCTGATTAGTTGCTCACATCAGATCACAAAATTTTGAGAATGGTTATATAATGTCTGCCAAACCACAGAATTATGGCCTTGCCAGTGACAAATAACAAGAATAATCATAGAAGTTCTGGGGTTTCACAAGTAATAGGTCAAACACAAATTTAAAGTTGCTTGTGTATGTTTACCCTATAGCAAATTCATTAAACAACTTTTGACAGTTTTATTTTAGAATTAGTGTATGGTTCTTTGGAAATGTGAGGAGGATGGTTGTTTTTTTGTAGTGTTTCTATAAAGGTCATCTGATACAATATGTTGCAATTTTGTTGATTAATTTTTGAATGTTTTGAAATGGTTTTTAATATTACTACATTTCTGGTGAACTGCTCTGATTTTATTTCTAGGATGATAGTGATCTTCCTAAAACATCTTCAGGAAGAAGGAGAGTAAGTTAATCTACTTGATTGTCTATTTTATTTATTTTTTCTGTTTTCAAATCAACTTAAGAGTTAGGTTTTGCCATTGTAAGTCATATTTACACAGATTTTGAATATTTTTTTCAAGAGCAATGGTAGAATCACTTTAAGCCAGTAGATAAATTAGGGAAGGTTTAGTGGAAAAGTTATTATTTGAAGTATGTTTTCTATGCTAGCTGGAGTGAAAAGAGGATATTCAAAATATAGGAGATATCATGTGCTGTAGGATGAGCACTGAACTACAAGGACTGTGGTTCAGGCTCTCCAGCCACTCCTCGAAAACCTATAATGATTCTCTATGAGTCAGAACCGACTTGTACTTAACAAATATATTTGCACACATAAACACACACACTAGCTATGAGTAAAGACTACACCGGTAGTGCTGTCAGAGAAAAGCAGTGGACTACTAACAAGTACCAAGTGGCAGCATCGATGGACTCAAGCATGGCAACAGTAGTGAGGTTGTCCCAGGATCGGGCAGGATTTCGTTCTACAGTACATAAAGTCGCTATGAGTCGGTACCAACTCGATGGCACCTAACAACAACAGCAACTAACTGCAAGGTCAGCAGTTCAAATCCACCATGTGGGTTCCGCTGGAAGGCCTAACTCTGAGGCATCTCAGGAAAACTTGCCTGGAATGCATCCTGGTACCAGGGTTGGTTTTCTTGCACAGCTAGGTCAGTGAATCAGAGCTTGACAAGTGGGGTGGAGGATGACCAATGATGACACACTGTGAAGGGGAATGACAATTTGATGAGCCCAGTGTTGAACTGGCCCCTCTGCCACACACAACAGTAAAGGAGCCACTGACTCAAGAGACACCCATTCCATGGGAAGACACCCAGACAGACACTCCTGGCTCATATGGTAATAATAAATAGCAGCTTTATTATAGGTTCTTCAATTGTTTGTGTGTCTGCCAGGAGGTTTATGGAAAGAGAAAAGAGAAAGGGAAAACATGCTGCAAATGGAGAATGGAGTAATTTATCAGAGTTAGGGGGATTAAGTTATTTCGAAAGTGAAATTACGCATACTTAACAGACCTGCACCTGGAAAACAAGACTTTTTAAATGGGAGAAAGAGTAGATTTTCTGTTCCTGTAAAGCCTCAGAAACCCTGTGTGGAGTCATTTTAAGTCAGAATGGACTTGATTACAATGGGTATGAATAAAGACATCCAACAACAGTATGGAATGTTCATGGGCTAATGATGGTGCTGACCTGACTAGAGGTTGATGGATCCCCGGGTAGTTTTGTCTATTGTTGATGTTAGGAGCAAGTTATGGTAATCCTGAAAACAAAGGATTTCATTCAGATTTAACGTAGAGAATCAGTTGCATAGCTAAAATAGATTTTGAGAAGGTGGGAAGAGGTATTATTAAATCGTGTGGATCATGACAAGCTAAGGACAACATTGAGAAGTATGAGTATTCCAGAACACTTAATTGTACTTCTGAGAAATCGGTACCTAGACCAAGAAGCAGTTGTTCAAACAGAACATGGGAACACTTAATGTTTTAAAATTGGGAAAGGTGTGAGACAGGGTTGTATTCTTTCACCATACTTATTCAACCTGTATGCTGAGCAAATAATATG